GGACCTGAACCTGTTCAGCCTCCACAAGAGAAGGCTGAGGGGGGATCTAGTGGCCATGTACAAACTAGTCAGAGAGGACCAGCAGGCACTGGGGGAGTCCCTGTTCCCCCGAGCACGACCGGGAGTGACCAGGAATAACGGTCACAAGCTGGCAAAGTGTAGATTCAGGCTAGATATCAGGAGGTGCTACTTCACTGTCAGGGCAGCTAGGATCTGGAACCAACTTCCAAGAGAAATGGTGCTGGCTCCTACCCTGGGGGTCTTTAAAAGGAGGCTAGATGTACACCTTGCTGGGGTTGTTTGACACCAGTACTTTTTCCTGCCACGGCAGGGGGTTGGACTTGATGATCTGCTCAGGTCCCTTCTGACCCTACCAACTATGAAACCCTCCTCTGCCTGACTGGCTTGTCATTTGCCTGTGGGGAGGGAACGTTTTCCCTGTGGGCTGATGCCTGGAAGGACAGACAAATGGAGAAGCTGCTTCCTTTACCTTGCAGCGCCCACATGTTGTACGAGGCCAAGTGGCTGCTGAAGGTCTCTCTGGTGCTCACGGGGATTGTGGGCCCAGTGATGCTGGTCGACGAGCCGATCGTCACGTTATACCTGGAAGAATTGAATGTATGCTGGCATCAGGAACCCCACTGGTGTGGCAGGCTGGGCTCGCTGCATGCCCCCTCCAGCCCAGCACCCTATGTCTTGCAACACCATTCTCCTCTCCCTGTTTGCTGCTGGGCACCTGAAGCCATTAGGACCAGCCTCTGTCCTTCAAAGCCTCCTCAGTACCCCTCTGTGCCCTCCTCTCAGGGCTGACGAGCTGAACACACAGCACACTGCCTCACTGCCACCAGCACTCATCTGAGCTATTGCAGGGATGAGCGCCTTAGGCACAACACAGAAAGGACAGAGCCTTTGGCTTCTTACCTTTTCTCTGCCCATTCGATCATGGGGTCCCACTGGATCCTCTGCAGCTCCACCAGGGTAGCTGGCTCCTCCACCCTGTAACTAGGACCACCAGAACTGACCATCACAGACAAACCACTGTCTGTCTTAATGCCATGTGCAGCAAAACCCCCCTGGAAATGCAAGCCCCTTTCCTGGGCTGGCAGGAGATGCCAGCTTGCAAGGAGCACAGGGCTGCCCTCAGTTCCACACTGGCAGAAGCTGCAGGCCCCACAGGGGCCACCTGTGGGCACAGCTGCCTGCCAGCCCATGTACCACGTGGAAGGGATGCAGCCTGCTTCTGCTCTGTGGTAAACCCAGCAATGTCTGTGGGGTTCCAGTGGAACAACGTTCACAGGTAAGGCAGCCAGCTCAGGCCCCAGCTAATTACAGCATGGGAGTGTTAATTAGCATGAACAAACCCATCAGGCCACCTCAGAGCCCCAGAGCAGCTCAGGCAGGTCTCTGCTCCCAGTTTAGCCTAGAGGCCAAGGACTGGTCCAGCCCTCACCGGTCCCAGAGCTCAGGGGGCAGGAATATGGGCTCAGCTGAGGTAAAGGAGTGCTCAGGGCAAATGCAGGGTAACACCAAGCGCAGACAAGGAAAAAGGCAAATCCAAGCTGCTGCACTAGTAGATACCCAGGACCACCAGCAACACCTCATGGGGGGAAGCGTAGGCCTGGGAGAACTCCTCAGGGGCACAGAACAAGGAGGAGATAGAGGCCTGCTGGTGCAAAAACAATGCAGGTTGGCTTGGGTTGAATAGATCCTCCTGGAAGGGATCCCAAGTCCCACCACAGCCGATCTGGCCTGGCCCGGCCAGGTGTTCCCCCAGCGAACAGCAAACCCGGCAGGTCTCCTACCAGATTGTGTCTGTTTCCAGGAACTTAATGGCCGCTTGGATGAGCTGCGTCTTGTCCCGCTGGGTTGGGTTGTCCAGAGCCGTGTTGCACAGTGTGGTCTGCAGACAAGAGGCAATAAGCAGAGTTTCATAGATTGTAAGGGGCTGGAAGGGACTTTACAAGATCATCAGGTCTAGCGCCCTGCACCAGACAGGAAAGACAACTGGGGGCCAGGTGACCCCAGCAAGGAGACCATCCAGTCTCTTCTTGAGGATTTCTAGGGTAGGCAATTGCACCAGCTCTGGAGGGAGCTTATTCCACAGTCCGGACACCCTGAAGGTGAAGAAATTTTTTTAATGTTGAGCCTGAAACAATCTTCCAGGAGTTTATGGTCATTACCCCTAGTTTTCCCCAAGGGTGCCCTGATGAATGACTGCTCACCAAGCCCTTGATGTATTCCCCTAATGTAGCAGTAAGTTGCTACACGTCCTCTCTCAGCCTCCTCTTTTTCAGGCTGAAGAGTCCCAGGTCCCTCCGCCTTTCCTCACATGGCTTGCCACGCAAGTCTCTGATCACACGGACAAAGAAAATCGCTCTTTGAACTCTCTCAAGCTTTCCCGCGTCCTCCTTGAAGCACGGCACCTGGAACAGGATGCCGAGCAGAACGAAAGAATCGCCTCCTCGGCTTCATTAGCGAGGCCGGAGATTTTCACGAGGCCACAACCCCTAGCAAGGAACAGAGGGAAGAGGAGACCAAGCCACGATCTGCGCACTCGGGGGCATCACCACTGGGGCAGCAAAAGAGTCGTGGCAGGAGCGTCCCGGTCCCGTACACGTGGGAAGCAGCTTTGGGCACCGTTGGGGACAAGCAGCTCCAGCCCCCGTCTCCTCCTGCGAGGCTGCTCTGCACAGCACCAGGATGGGCCTGCCACGGCGCTCACCAGGTGCATAGCGTAGAGTTGGATGGTGTCCCGCTGGGCATCCCACTCAGTGGCCACGGCCACGGCCAGGGCCTCGCTGGGCACCACGAAGAGCTTGGCCTGGGGGGTCCTTAGCTTCCTCTGGTCCAGGTTGATTTCGAAGCCCCCTGGGCAGGCAGAGGGGAAGGTCTGCGTGGCCACAGGGAGAGCCGGGTGGGGGGAAGAGGCTGCTCACCCTCCCCCCGGCCCCACTCACCTTCCCCCCGCGATATGCCCACGCGCTTGTAGAACCGCTTCCGCTCTAGGGGGAGACAAGAGACCGTGAGAGCGGGGACAAGGCCCCGTCCCGACCCACCTGGCTCCGGCTCCTGCCCCTTCCCCTTCCCCTGCCCCTGCCCCTGCCCCGGCTCCTGCCCCGGCACCTGCGGGCGGTGCG